ATTACATTAAATTTAAAAAATATTTTACTTTGCTTTGGGGTTCATAAAACTATCCAGGAAAATGAAACAATAGTAAAATGACCAGCTCTAACTGAATTTGCAGAAAGCTTCTAATCAGTCTATACTGGTGAAAGCTCAACAATGTATATACACAGGAACTTTACACCCTGACTTCCTGCATGATTTTCTGTGTGCCAACATCTTTTCCATACCTACAGATCTTTGAAATAGGGAACATTCAGAATTGTTGCCTTGTGGTAATTTTATGCAGCAAAACATTTGGAATAACAAACTGTTAATGGACCTAATTATTTGTATACAGTGGGATCATGAGCTTCCGAGTGATTTCCCTTATTAAGCCTAGATGTCTGGTTCCCTGATGCCTCAAAAACCCTGATCAGGACCAGACCCTTGTTGAATACAGGCATACTGAATAAGGCTTTTATTTTTTACCAAGATAATGGTATGAAAAAAACAGTGAATAATACAATGAAAGAAAAGAGAGAGGATGAATGAATATAGTAACAAAATCCCATAGTTAGGCCTTTTATTTTCTACTTGTTTTTATAGCTTTGAATCATTTAATGAATTTGTTTGTGGGAGGGTTTAGTTGTTCTGTTACATTGCTATAGGAAATATAGGTACCCTTTTCTTGATGTGTGTGTGTATGTTTGCTTTCAATATCAGATGTGATATTCCTCTTTGAGATGTGACATTTTGGGGGGATATCTAATTTCTGAGTTTATGTACATAATATTGTGATACAAACAAAACAAAGACCTTTTTTGGTTGCACAACTCACCTCTTTCTCTCTTTTGTTCATTACCACCTCCATCCTTGGTATCTACTTACTTCCGAATTACCTTTGCAATGAAAACACACTCAAGAAATTTCAGCTTCAAGTGTTATTTTCTTTTAAAGGATTTTGGGGGGAGGAAAATAGAAGTGCAGGGTCTTAGAATTTAAAAAGCTTTAGACTTGGAGCTAGCATTTTTAATACAATGCTGCAAATTCTTGACCTGCGTAAGCTATAATTTGCTTTATCCCCAAGGCAGTAAAGAAATTCTTATGTAGAGCACATTTCTCTAGTTCAGTAGCAGGCTTTCCCTTTTGTGTAAGCACATTTTTTTTCTGTGTAGAATTATGTCCTGATAGAATACATATCCTTACCGTGTATGTGTTACTGGAGATTTTAAGCTGCCTTGTTTATTTTTTCAGCTCTGAAAAGTTGATTTAAAGGTCAATGTGGCTAGCTATTCTGTCTGGTAGGTTTTTGCACTGCTGTTTTGCAGTTTTGAACAAGAACTGTTCAGTGTTTATATACTTTTCCAAGCAATGTTACTTATCCAAAATGTCATCTGCTGTAAGATTATTTTAACAAAGAAATAGAGTTGCGTTGTTATGGTTTCTTTAGCTTCACTCTTTCTCTGCCGTGTTTTTGTAATCAATGATTTCTCAACAATCTGCAAATCAAAAGGCAACCATTTTTCTGCAGTCAAGTGAATGCTGCCTTTCCTAGGAAAATTCCTATTGCCCAGGAGCTCTTAGACAACAAAAAATACTGAGCAAAAAGAGCAAAATATATTTACTTTTGTTGAACAATGTGTTGACCTAAACTTAAAAGTAATTAACTGAACAGCATGTCTCACTGCAGGCTGCACGTGAGAAGGTACTGCCTTCTGCTGCTTATAAATCTTGCTGATTAGCAAAACCTTTCATCCTGCTCATTGATTTACTGAATTCCTCCCATTTCTCTGTGCATTCCCATTTGGCTCCCACGTCATGCCTTGGACTTGTTACATGTTTCTTTAGCAGCACAATGCAGACACATTGTGGAATGGAAATCAAAGCAAGAGCTACTTTTGCTTTGTTCAAAAGCAGGCGTCTGCAAGCCTATGTGGGGTTTTCTTTCCTGCTTGAATCTGGTGGGATGGTAAGACACGTGTACAGCAGGCACTCTCCCCAACTGGTGCATGGACCAGGGTTTTGGTAGAAGCCAGGATTTCATGTTTTTGTTGCCTTTCACTGGAGGCCTAAAAGCATGAGCAAATGTGGAAGATTCTTTCTTCCACTTTCATAGATGGTAAAGTAGCTTGGTGCAGTGTGTTGTGCTGGGGTAAGTCAGGAGGAAACCTGGGTCCTTCACTATTAGTCATCTATCTGTTAGATAATCTGTTCTTATTTGAACACTCAGGACTGTTTTATCTAATTAGATACATACTTAAAGACAGACAAATTCTTCCAGAACACTGGATGTTATCTGTTGGAAAGGTTAGAAAATCAAACCTGTTGTTTATCTTAAAAATTGGATACCTCCCAACTCCTTTCCTACTGTTTCTTTCTTCCCCCTCCCTGACATCCTACTGTCATTACATTACTGGCTCTGTTTAATTATTCATAGTCCACATATAACACTACCACTTAGAGCAGGAATGGGAAACTACTGCACTATATCCTCTGCTTTATGCAGTTTAGTCAGGTAAAGTACAAGTCACCCAAGCAGCATCTTTTGTAGTAACTAAAGGTATTTATAATTTGATGTTCACAGTGCTGTTGAAGAATGATAGGTAGACTTTATGTGCAAGTTTCCCTATAATTTAAAACCTTGTGCTGTGTGAAGAAAGGCAGGGGAGAGGACGGTATCTGGCAGTGAGGTTTTTTCCATACTCCCTCTGCTGTGGGCCAAAATCACTCTTCCTGAGGAGCTTCTGACCTGGGAAAGTATCAGCTTCTTGTTTCTCTTCTTTCAACCTACAGGCTCTGTTGCAATGGGAACACAAGGACTGAATAATTTGGGCCTGATGTGTGATGCCACACAATAAAATGTTTTAGCACAGTTAAGATTTTCCATATTCTACTTTAGGCATAGTGTCCTAGCTACATAAAATATACAAAAGGTCTGGGCAGAGAGGTAAGAATGACTGGAAAACCCCGAAACCATGGCAGAACTTTCCTAATCTGTATGTACGAAGCCCTGATTAGCTCAATTTAAAATACTGGTTTTGTAGCATTTTAATGCCATGTATTACAGCACTAGGAGATGATTACATGCCAGAAGATAGCACAGTTAAATTATATAAGTTATTTTAAAGTTACTTTAAAACTTACCTTTTTTTTTTTTCCCTTAAAATAATTTGTTTAAACATGGATAACCTCTGTTAGTAAAACTGTACTGATACTTCTTGACACTGCAGATGTGGGAATGTGATATGTGCATAAATGCAGATAAAATGTTGTGGTCAAAGTTTAGTTTTCTTTGCAAAGGGTTTTTCACAAGTATACCATGCAAATTGGAAAAGATTTGCTGAAACTGCATTCTGGGCATTTCTTTTCTTAATTCATATAACTACTTCCAGTATTCAGTTATCTGGATATCATTGATTATCTGGATATCTGAGATGCATTATGTCCAGATTGCAGAAGGCATGCTGGTTATGCATGTTCCATCTGTTAAACTGATTTAAAAATCAAAAGTATCTACCCCATGATACAGGTCACAAATCTTTAACAATACAATTAATATTTCTAACCAACACAGAGAGATTATGCAGCTCGGTTAATGCATTATTCAGGCTGAATGACTTATGAAGTTGATGTAAAAATGAGTGACTTTAATAAGTGGTTTTCTAGCATATGCTTCTTGTGAGATACTGCTATGAACAGAATAGAAAGGAATCCCTGTAAAGAGAACCTGAAATAAAGTGCAAGAATAACATATTGTAAATCACCAGCAAAGGAAAAACAAGCTTTGAGAACTGTGGTGAGCAAAGAGGAGAATGGGAAGCTTGATGTTTTCTGTTTGATGTGGAGGATCTGTCTGCAGGTTTTCTGATGAGATACAAGCTAGCCAAGTACAGTGGTAAGGCAATGTCATGCTCTTCTGAGCCCTGTTTAGGAGGGGAGCATCGCTGGCATGTGGTGAGACTGGAGTCCTGATTTTTTGTCCTGCTGTCTGAACTAGTGGACAGAACTTCTAATATTATGTCATATACTGTATACTATATACTTGTGCCCCCAAAAAAAGCCAAGAATACTTATTGAAGATAATGGTGTATGACCCCTGAACTGCAGGCTCAGCAGCAGTTTCACTTACTTAACTGCATTACGTTGTCAGTTTGATGTCGGGTTGTAAATCTTCTTGTGTATTAATACAAATAAATGGATACACATAATTTTTTTCTACAATTAACTGTAAAGAAAAGCTTGGTGTTTTCTTCTATGGGTAATGGAAATTATAGGAAGGTAGATGTAATAAAGCCCCCAAAGCAACAGATATTTTCTGCACACTGCACATGGTTAGTGGGCAGTGATCTCTACATAATGCAGCTGTTACCCTGCAGTGCATTGCTTTAGTGATGTCCATCACCTGAGCAAATCAGAGTTGCAGGAATTAAGGATATTATAGTGAGGGCCGTGGTTTTAAATGCTTCACCTCAGAGAATCATATCATTGTGTAGGCTGGAAAAGACTTTCAACATCATTGAGTCCAGCGTTAACCCAGGACTGCAAGCCCACCACTAAACCACATCCCTAAGCACCACATTTACATGGCTTTTAAATACCCCCAGGAATGGTGACTCAAACACTCCTCTGGGTAGCCTGTTCCTAGGGGTAGATTGACAACCTTTTCAGTGAGGAAAGTTTTCCTAATATCCAATCTAAACTTCCTCTGGTGCAACTTGAAGCCATTTGCTTGTGTCCTGCCCCTTGTTTCTTGGGAGATTGAGCCCCACCTCACTACAGGCTCCTTTTGTGACAGCATGGACCCTATTCTTGCTCTCTGGAAAACTTTTCTGACTCTGGTAACTTGAGTTTTGCATTTTAAATACATTATGCATTCTTTTTTAGAAGGTAACTAAAAGTGCTCTTAATCAGTTGAAGACAGGTGGGCAGCAAATAAAAGCTGATGTCTAACACAGTTTATAAAATATTTTGGAATAAAATCACTGTGGAAATGTAAGAGTGAAATGTTACTAAAGGTATATTTTTTTAAACTTTAGGCTGGGCAATGCAGGTTGCTGCCTTTGTTTTCATTCAGAGAAAGTGGGAAGATGATAAGAGTCACTTTGAAAAAATGCTGGATTATTTCTGTGACATTCGTGAACCACTACAACTCCTCATCTTTCCAGAAGGAACTGATCTCACAGGTAGGCTGCATTTGTCATCTTCTCATGGAATGTTCAACGTGGAAATTCTTTGTTGTTTATGGAAAGAGTTTAAAAAAGTCCAAGGCAGGAGCAAGACTTGGTTCTCACGGACAGTAGAAATTATAGTGAATAATCAAATGATGTGGTGATTAATTTGAGAGGCACAAATGTATTTCCACTGAGAGACTTTGCCAATCTGCCTGAAGGAACTTACATTTCAAAGCATCTGACGATTGAAATAATTTTTTATTGGTCAGTACTGTATATACATTGCATTAGCAAGAGTAAGTTTAAAGACCTGGAATATATCACTTGCATGTTCCCATTTCCTGTATTACTGTGGCAAAATCATATCTCTGAATGACTGATTGGAAAGGACTAATAATTCTGTTTGACTTCTTGCCTGGGGTTTTAAGAAGAGAACATGGAGATTCTTGTTTTTAGGTCATGTAAGCAGTCTGTATCTGCCTCTACAAGAGAAATATCTCTGTAAAACAAAGGTTGAGATTATCATAGGAATAAGTTTGAAGAGTTTGAACCTGTGCTATTAATTTTTAATCAAATATCCAGCTTTATACAGGTATATTATGGCATCAATAGCAAGCTCTTAACCAGTGAAGATGACTCAAGTGCCATTTAAAGAAAACATTGTATGAATGTTCTGTGGTGGTTCATGGCTGCAGCATGATATGATAAGCATTATCTTTAAATAGAAAATCAATTACAATTAAGCTTCTAACTTTAAACTCATTTAGAAGATTTTTGCTATACTTTGCATTGCAGATATTCTCAAATCATATTTTATGGCAAAGCCACATCAGTAAGTACTAGACACGGTATAAAAATTAGTAACGTATTCTGCTATTTTTTCTTCTGCATTCCAAATATCCTTAAAATTGATATGTTATAGTATCCAGGTACTATCACACTGTAGAGAATTGTCATCACTTGATCAGCCTTTCTGAAAGAGGGTAAATTCATTGAACATTCTTGGACTGCTTCACGTGATCACTTTTGTTGATTGGGTTATTTTGTATCTAAAGTTAGAAAGAAGGATGGAATTTTCTTCACTAGGAAGAGTGGTGAGGCACTGGAACAGGTTTTCCAGAGAAGCTGTGCATGTCCCATGCCTGGAAGGATTCAAGACCAGGCTGAATTGGGCTTTGAGCCACATGATCTAGTGGAAAGTGTCCTTTCCCATGGCAAGGAAGTTGGAACTGGGTGATCTTTAAGGTCCTTTTCAACTCAGACCTTTCTATGATGCTATAAAATTATCTAACTTTTTTTCATTGAATTAATGAAGAACTGTCTCCTCCTAGCTCTAAATTACAAGGTGCAATCTTATTCATGGAATCAGAAGACTCCTCCTTAGAGCACTCACACTCTCTTTCTGAATAGGTGCTTCCACCTCAAGATGACTGATAGAATGGGATTGTTTATTCCAATCCAGCTGGAATTCCTTCTAATGTCTCCCAATATTCCCCAGAGACAACAGATTTTTAAAGTACTGAGAAAGTTTTGTACTGCAGCTTTAAAAAAGAAGATTTATTGGAGGACTGACACAACCACTTGTGCTGATGGGTGGCTGGGCAGCCCAGGGAGGAAGCAGTGCAGGGGGAAGGATGGAGTGATGGATAGAGGAGACAACAGGGCACTGCTGTGCTGGCTTCTGACACATTAAACTGTCCTGCATTTAGCAGTCGTAACTTGCCATCAAGTACTGAACGCCACCTTGATATTATATTTGTGCATAAAAAGATGTCTAGAGACAGGCAAAACCCTGGGATTTTTTCTGTGGAAATAAATAGATCTCCCTATCTAATTGTCTTCACAGGAAACGTTACCTCATATATTTAAAAATATTATAAGAGACGGGGAAAAAATCCCTTGACGAGCTAATCCTGACCAAGCAATAAAGTTATGCCATATGAGAATGCTAGAACATAATAATCTATTTTATGTAACATTTTGAAGAAGTGATTTGCAGAAAACTTATGTTATTGACCTATTAGGACCTATTGCAACCTCATGTTCCATCTGTTAGAATAAGAAATGTGGTTTTGTTCTGAACAGTTGCTCAAAATTCTAGGGAACATTTTGCAGAAATAGAGGCAATGACTTCTGTTTTCTGACCAAATTCCAAAACTGCTAATTACTTCTGAAAACAGAATTTTTCTGGTGCTTAAAATGAAAAATAACATTCTACATGCACTTCACTGAAGAGCAGAATTGCTGTGCAGCTCTGTGCTGCTGTCATTTTTTTATCCTCTCTGTGGCCGCATGGCAAGGATAGATTTACTCCTCTTTATAAGAAATTGGATAATATTTTCAGGTATTCAAGAATGAAAGATTTCAAAGAAATGTAAAGTATGACTTTATTTATGCATGGGCCAAAGGCTGACTTCATGTTGGTGAAGTACTTTGCGGTGGAAGATGCTACATGAATAAATTTTAGAAATGGTAAAGTCACGAACCCTGAACATTGTATTTGCAGACTGGGTGAATAGAGTCTGAGGTAATAATTGTATAATTATATACTTATTTCTGATAGGTTGGCCATCTTTTCACTCTGGAGTACTTGAAGGTTAAAGCTAAGTGCATCAAAGGTATTTTATTGTAATTGCTTCAGAAGAAGCCCTCAGCAGATAAACATATAGCCAGACTTTCTGAAGCCCTAAAGAAAACAAAGCAACCATAAGTCTCCTGCTTCTGGAAAGCTGGAATACGACCCACCATCTTGCCTACTCTTGTTTTTTTTGGTGTTCCTTATAAGACTATTTGTAGTAATTCTTCAGAAAGCAATGACAGAAAAAAAAAAAGTCGCTCTATTGCTTTGTGTCTGGTAAAACCTCATTTCCTATGGATTTTTGTCTGCATCCCTGTTCATGGTCTCTTTTTCACTTCAGCTTCTCCTTTTTCCTCGTGTTTCCTTCTGTGTGACATTTCCTCCACAAAGCTCTTTCCACTGTCTTGGCAAGAGGCATCACGTGCTCTGCTCGTGTTACCCGATGGGCTGCTGCATGCTGTGCTGAAAGCCCTGACAGATTGAATACCCATGGAGCCTTCCTTGGCTTTTCCCATTATTAGGATCTCTACCCTCAGAAGCTTCCCCTTCACTCAGCCACTGTTTTTTTTCTAAAACTTCTGCTGGGCTTAATCATCTTTGAATCTCTTGTCCCTGACAAACTTTGTTTGCAGGTGGCAATAGCTTCAAAAGTTAAGGGGAGCAAACAGGTGGACAGAGTGTGATTGCACAGACCTTTTTTCCTTGAGGAACAGCTGAAAAGCATGTAGGAAAGCTAGCTAGAGCTCAAGTTTTGGCAGGAATGTTGTCTTGTGGATGACAGAAGGTAACAATAACTGCAGTTGGATTTTTAACTTTTCTAGTAAATTTGTAGTACAAAGAATACTGTTCAAAAGCACTGGTAGGGGTTGATTTAACATGTAATAGTTTCCAAATAACCCAAGTAAGGACAATTACTTAATTTTTTTCTTAAAATTGTGAGCCAGTGTAGTTTTTCTCACTTCTATGCAAACCTCTGATAGATAAATAAGAGTTTTATTTATTTATTTATTAAGATAGACTTTGGTAGTGCTCGTTTATTCTTTCACTCTCTGGCACTAATATAATTTGAGGGTACTTGAAGTCATAGAAGTACAAGCATGCTTTTATCATGTACATGCATCATTTTATCATTTTTCTTTTATCCCAAGTGGATTAAAGGAAAAGGCAGTAGTCAAATTTCAGTGCACTAGTACTAGCACAAAAGAAAAGAAAAAAGTAGCAGTTGAGAGTTGTTCAGAAGTACTTGAATTAAAGTTGTCCAAATCAGCTTTCCAGTAGGATGATAAGGGAAGTTTACAATTCTTTTGGGTAACACCCAGTAAAATACATCAGCCCGAATGGTGTTGACACTGTAAAAGTATGTGAGCTTGTTTGTTTGAGAGGAGCTAATACTGCATACATATTTCATAGGGAGCAAACACTTAGCTTTTCACTGGGTATAGATCTTGGAGTTTTAGATCCAAATACGCTTCAGACTCAGATGAATGCAGCTGTTACTGCATTATGGCTTTCATCAAAGTAAAATCCTAGAGATCTTAGTTTTAATTCAAAATTAGCTCACAAACTAAAAATGTAATTTGACTTTAAAAAAATTAAATTTGTTCACTTTTCCCACTAGTTTTCAGGGGCAAAAGGCAATTTAACTTCTTAAAATCTGTAACTCAAAAATCAAGAAAATGTGTTAGCATCAGCTCTTCCTCCAGTTACTTTAAATGAAATTCTGAAGTGTGGTGCTTCAAGAAAGTGCTGGCTTTCTGAGCTTTTTCAGTAATTTTAAAATGTGATAAATGGGATTTGCCCACATGATTTGGAGATAAATGAGAAAAAAAAATGTAATCAAATTAATTACCAAAGGCAACAAAGGAGCAAAAAAAAAGTAACACGTTTTGGCCAGAATCCTTAAAATTTTGTACTTTCGTGTTGTTTGACAGTCACTCTGCAGAAATGTTTAAATATTCAAATAAATTGGACTACTTGTACTTGTCACCACCACCCTAATGAATGTATGCTCTGAGGGGCTGCAGGTATTAGCTGAAGGAGATGGGGGAGGAGAGGCAAGTCAGTGCAAGACCTGAGTGGACAGACCATGAAGCAGTTCTGTAAGTGCCCCACATCACCCTCTATTGATAAACTGACTGCTTTCCATAAAAATAACTTATTCTCCTTATTTGTTTTTTTATAAGCAAATAGAACCAAGGAGTTAAAATGCAAAATGCTCCTAACAGAAATGAGGAGCAAAAATTCTGGGAGTACGTTTGTTTTGATTTCAATACAGTGAAAGAAAGAAAGTAACCTGTTTCTAGAAAGCAACACTTACGCATATTTTTCAGAGAGAGTAAGCAATAGGGGGCATTACCTGTAGCCAGACGATGTGAGTGACCTTTTGGGGTTGAGGAGACCCAAACCAAGTTCATTTCCAAGCCCTATCTCAAGAGCTTCTTGATGCTATTTGGTTTAGTAGGTTGGGAGAAAAGAAGAGAACACGTTTCCTCTTTTTAAGGAAATTTTTAGGCATATATAACTTTTTTTTATTCTTTCATCTGTGAATGTTATAATCTGGCCAACAGAACAATGAGGGATCTGCGCTGAGTTTGGCAGCGCTGACAGTGTAGCCTGGTCCATTGGTTAAGGGATTTTAAAGAGGTGTTTGTTGTGCGAATTCCCTCAAGTTGCAGAGGATGTAAAAATGGGTTTCTAATTTCCTGGATCAGTTTTCTAACTTCTGGGTTTCGTGTAATGAGGAGTGTCGCATGTTCTGTGCCTTTTGTTGAATCCATTTCTGAGCAGCTGACTTGCTCTCAATTTCCCCCCAGGGCTTTGGGCACTGGTGTCTCTCACAAGGATCCCAAACAGCAGTGGGCACAAAGGTGCTCACATCGACTGACATGATGGCAGTCAGAGCATTTGTTCATAAGTAATAGTAGAGTAAGAAACTGGGTTTTTTCAAGTGCTGAGACTAACGGGAGAGGGAGGAAGGGCATTATTCTTAGGTTTTTTGTAGAGTGAAGGCATATCTTACCCTTGCTTTCAGTATGGCATCAAAACCCATTTGCCTTCCTGACTTGCTGTAATAAATAATCATGTTTAATGCACAAAGACCTGTGGCTTGATAGTTGTTAGGAAGGGAAGAGGGAGATGATTTTTCCAGATGACACTGATCATTGTGTTAGCTGGGAGCGTTACTCTAGTTCTAAAATCCCATTACACTAGAGTAATGCAAAAAGGGAAGAGAGCAGTCTCTGTTATATAAAACTTACAGTCCAGAGGCAAGACAGGGATACAAATGTCAGGAAATAGCTGAATAGTGTTGGCCAGTGTGCTGATGTCCAGCTGTTCACACGTTTTTAGAATGGCAGTGTAGTAAAGGGAAATTTGGAAGATGTTTTGCAGATGTTTACAGTGAGTTCTTTCCAAGTACAGGGAGGTGCAGTAAGAGGAGGTTTGAAGATGATTGTTTCAAGGCAATGGGCACTGGAGGTCCCAAATCTTTTTTAGCAGTATCAATTAGGTCTTACTCAGAGAATGAGTGTGCCCATTCACTTTTTGGCTTTCCTGTGGTTCAAGTAGGAGTGTTTTACAAACACCAAGGAATTCATTTTCATGCTCCCTCTGAAGCAAAGTGCTAATGAGCAGACATAAGGAGATAGTTTTTCTGAGTGCTCATTAACTGTGTGCAGTTTGAGATGCTTAAGAACTGCTTGACTTTATGTAGATTTATATGGCACTTGTGTCTCAAAGCTCTGATTGACTTGATTTGCAGACTGTAAGTTTTTCACAGTGAAACTCCAATTTGGATATGCAGAAAATGAAGAATATTATACTTCTGTCCTTTGGAAACAACAATACATTAGCTTAAGAACTTTGTGATAAATTAATTTAAAAAATTTTACTTGAATCACTAAAGAATCTGGAAAAGAACTCTTGATTTGAATATTTTTTTTATAGCAACACTCTTGGTCATCAGTGTAATTTCTTAAAAAATAAAGAGTTTTAGTTGTTGAGCTAATACAAGTATTCCTAAGAGATAAAACCTGGCTTTTTGGGGGAGCATTTAATAATTACAGATTACTGTTGCCTCTTTTGCCATTCCAAGTCTTTCCCATTGCTCACTTTGCAAGTTTTGCCATTGCAATGGGAGTGCAGAAGGCAAGTCCCCTTCACTGATTCAGAATGGTCCATTTGCGGTATTGATTGGAGTAGTAGTCAAGGAGACAAAAATAGATCGTCTGACCCTGTGGTGAAAGACATGATGTATATGTCCAAGGGAAGATAAGTTACATAGCCAAGTATAATTTTAGTGTTTCACACATTCTGTAATTTTAGCAATGCTTTTTGAAGTTGTAATATTTTTCAAGTATTTGTACGTTTTGGCAATTTGGCAAGAATTAAATATTTGGATTCTCTTTGCTGAATCACTTGCTTGGCTACTGTGCAACAGCTTTCCTCGAAATCACATGGTCAGGAAATCTGTGCACTCAATCTTGAGGGTTATATATATGAAAAGCAGCACCATAATGCTTGGAAACAGTAGGTCACAGGAAAAAAATACTCAGTACGCTAATATAGCATTTATTAGTTGGTAGATAATCTTTTGGGGGAGCACCCGCATTTCTTATGAATAGAGCTCGTGTAATTTAGGGAAAAAAAGGATGCAGGAATGTTGCATTACAGCAAAATAGAAATTTCTCACTACTGTTGATTTGTTCAGTTATGCTGCTGTGCCTTTACAGGAAAAAATTATGAGGATTGTAAGGGAAAGATTTATCTCTATGACTTCTGTTAGATTATTAAACAGCAATGTGTTTTTCATTACTTTATCTGTCATCTCTGTTAACTATGAACGCTTGAAAAAGACCTTTTTCTGCTTGAAAAACATGATATATTGCTTAAACAGTTATTTTGTTCATGGATCTGTTGGTGGGATTTTGTCTTTTAAAACACCTGCAAAACTTTGTAAATGAGTTATTAAATAAGCCAGTTGATCAAATTGGTTTTTACCATGTTGCCAAGGGAACACTGCATGAGTCCATTGCCCATTGGCTCCAGGGGAGGCACAGCAGTACCCACAGTAAAGGACTAAATGTAACCAGCAAAGTCCATTTAGCTCCTGACTGAAGCTGGTTGGAAGAGCCTTCTGCACATCATGGGAAAAAAATTGCTTCCTCTCTGTCTGTCTTCAGAAGTTTTTGCTTTGGTGTCCCCATCTTCCTTGTTTAGTGGGCTCTGTTAGCAACCAGCTCTGGAAAGCCCTTGTCTGGCTTTCTCACAAGAGGTTCCTTCTTACCAGAGGTTTGAAACACAGTTGTTACAGGGTTTAGCCAGCCTGCTTTTCAAATGCCTTGTGTGTACTCTACCTACAGTAGCAGGCACGTGCTGTGACACTGAGTCACTTGATCAAAAAATTAAAACACAGGGTATGTACGTGCAGAGCAGGTTGATGAATAAAACGTGGCGAATTCAGAATGAAGATGTAAAATACAGTTTTAATGTATTAGATTAACTGCTTTTCTCCATTTAATGTTTTCTTTCTGAAATAAGTTTAATGTGGTTAAACACTGATCTCAAGGTATTTCTGTACATAGTATTAAACCTACATTACTATACATTGTGCCTTTTGAGTTAAAAAACCCCTGAAATGCAGTTGAGCCAGTTGACACATTTTACTGTAAAATGGGTATTGAAGTGTACAGAGAACTATTAACAGACTTTAAATTGTAGATTTCAGGTTGCATTTGATAGATATGAGATTTGCTGATTATTTTCAAAGATAAATGAACGGGTAAAAAGGCTTTTCTTGCCTTGGCTCTTCCTCATACCATGGTATGACCAACTGAAAGCACACTTGCTGTCTGCCTCCCACCCGAAAAGCTGTTGTACTTTTGTACTGTGTGAACTGCTGTTGAACCATTCCTGTCGTATGATCATTAAATTTATTTCGTGATCTACATGCACACTAACAGAAAATGGTGCTTTTTATTCTCTCCTCAGCCAATACCAAAGCCCGCAGTAATGAATTTGCTGAAAAGAACGGATTTCAAAAATACGAGTATGTCTTACACCCGCGAACAACTGGGTTCACTTTCGTGGTTGAGCGTCTAAGGGAAGGTAACCCTGCTCTCTTCTTTTCTTTGTTTAAGAAAACAAATCTCACCCGAGCTGTTGAAGCTGATGTTCACAAAACTGATTGAAGTAATTCCAGGAAAAGTGATTACAAAGAAAGCCCTTGTTTGCAACCCTACTTTAAATGATTGTAACATGGAGAGATTTGAGAGAGTTGATAACAGACACTAATATCATCAAGAGTATGCAGTGAAAGAAAACGACCTTTCTTTTTTTTTCTTAATATTGTAGCTTGTTTAGTGGTATTACCTCAGAAAACTACTGGAAAAGATCCTAAGGAGGTTTAGCCTTATTGCCTGTATTGTCCTCAACCCCAAGTGGGTGGTTGATGCTGAACACACAGGCAATTATGTCACTGCCCTCTCTGAAAAAGCTTCTGATTTTAAGTCCTAGAGCTGAAAATACAAGTTATTATGTGAAAAGGACAAGCAGCATGTATATGCAGCAAGTTGGCTGCCCAGTGCTGTCAGCTTTTTTGGGCAATGGTGACTTGGAGAAGTTCTCTAAAATAGAAGTTGTGCTGCTTGGCAGGGTGGTGGGTAAGAGAGCATGTGATACTTGCTTTTTACCTAGAAGAGGTCTTCCATCCTCTCTTAATGTGGGGGTTGAGGTTGAGTCCCTGTTATTGGGAGAACTGAATATAAAGATGTGATTGCTCATTAGATTGAGATGTCTGTGGGTTTTGGGAATGAGCATTTTGATGAGGTTTGAGGACATAAGGATGTAACCTTTAAATGGTACTGATGTGGCAGTGGTTCAAGTACAGATGAGTGAATATTTGCAGGATATATGGTTGAGGAAAATAAACATGTACAGTAGATATGAAGTGACTTTTTTATAGGCTAGTTCTTCAGGGGAAAGCGATTCTAGATCTTTAACACATGCTGGTTATTTTGACTGCCAAGGGAAGAAGTTTGAGATTATTAAAAAGAATAAGGGCCTGCTGGTAGGTTTTTTTGCTTGCTGGAATCCTTGCTTGGATTTTAGAAGCAGACCTGGCTTGCATTTTACCTGCTTCCTACTAAACAGATATCCTAAAATTGCTGTAAACTCTTTGATATTTTGTCAAGGTGGACAATCCCAGCTGTACCACATATCTATTTGACTCTATTTGTATTGGACATTCAGAGCCAGACATCTTAGATTTTCATCTGTCTTGAATGTTTATTACTCAATTTGCTGTAGTAAAAAAATTTGCCACATACACAATTTCAAAAGCGTGTTTTACTTAAATTTTCACATCAATAAGTTAGCCTACTGCATAAAAATATTTCAAGCCTGGAATAGATTTTTCAGTTAAAGAAATGTTTTCCACTCGAAATATTAACAACTTAAAAAAAAAAGATTCTGCATTTGCTGCAGAAACAAGCTTTGTGGTCATACAGTAATTTTCTAATTTTATAAAAATGCTTTTCTCTTCCATTGCTCTATGAAAGATCTTTGCAAATTAGGCTGTTGGATTATAAAAAGGAAAATAGTTGAGGCTGATTAACTGATTTTATGCAGTAGAAAGCTGGAGAAAAACCAAAAACATTCCCAGATAATTTTTTTGTCCAGCCTTTCAAGTGGTTTTAAATCCTCTTTTTATTTAAGGCAGGCAAATATTGTGTGAAATATTAATATCCCTTTAGCATTGAATTTACTAGGTATTTTGTACCTTGATAAGCATTGTAAACTATATGTATTACAACTGTATGCTATTATGTGTGAAAAGGTAATTCAAGTAGTATTTTAAAGTACTTGGTTATCACTTACTAATTTTATCACTGGTTTTCAGTTGTTTGCAAATGTGCCAAATGTGGACCATTTGTGTTGAAAAGTTTTATTTTTGTGTACAACCTACCTTTAGTTGCTGGACTTTAAAATAAATGTCTTTATCTTTTCATCTGTACAATATAGATGTTCAGGTTGACATTCAGATGCTGATGGCCCAGTTGGTACCTAGTGTTATTGTGCAGCTCTGGTTTGAGTTATTATTTAAACTATTAGAATGCCTTTTTTACAATTCTGATTTCTGATACTAGCAGTGATAAAGAAAACCAGGGTTGTCAAGGATACAGTGTAAACCTGAGTCCCTGTTTCTGAACTGTCTTAATGCTACAATCATAGTAATAATCATAAAAATAGACTTATTTCCTTTTATACTGCTCATAACTGCAAGCACAAAGCAGTGTGTGTGACTTTAACATGCGGGAGGGAGTGGTAGAGATTTTAACATCATGTTTACGTCTTCTAAAGTATTTTTGTGCATAGATGACAACCCTATTGCCCTAGAGCTCTCTAGTGAATACATTTTGGCCTGTGGCTGTTTTCCATTCCTGAGGCTCAAGTGTCTTTTCTTCAGACCCGAGTACATTATTTTGCTCCAAGAATAAATTGATGAAAAGAGGGGGAAAATGTCATTAGAAGTTTAACTGCTTTTCAAATGTTGAAGAAACTAACCTAATTTGGCAAGAACCCTGATTAATATGCATCACAAGCTGTAGCATGAAAGAATTACCTGTTACTATATAAAAATAACAATTAGCGACCCTTCTGAATAGGAAATGAAGAATCAGGCAAAAATAACCTTCAGTAAAATGTTGCCAGTATCTCTGCAAAGGAGTTTCTTCCTAGAGGAAGCACTGTCTGCATCCTGACAATATTATCTGAGCAGTTACCTTTGCTTTCCATAGGTGGCAAAAATCTCTGAACCGTATGAATGGATTTTTGTTATTGATGACCAACACTCAAATTCCTCCGGCTGCCTTCTCGCTCTTATATGGTCATTCTTCCAACTATTTGATCTCTTTTGCCTATAAATGCTGCAGTGGTGGTTTCTAACTCACTGCTGAGATTATGTGAGCTGAAAAAAAAAGATCTATTTAACCTGCAATAAAAATTGTTTAGGCCATACATCTCCTTGGCTTTTGAGTCGTACCTTTCTTTCCCCATTCTGGCTCTTCATGAGTGGTAACTCTTCCCCCCCTGAGCTGAACCTTTTTCCTTTTCATTATGCTCAGGTGCCAAAACAGTGAAAATGTTATTTTACCTGTAAATGATCATATTACTGTTTTCTCATCCATAGAAACCATGGAATCCCCCAAGAGCAAACACAGAATATGAACATACTTTAGGTGTATAATTAATAATATACTCAGGAGAATAAGGACTGCAGTTGTTGCTTGACTATTGATGGAAAGCTAAGAGAAATAAAATAGGTGATTTGCTTCTTTCTAATTCTCTTCACTTGATCAAGTATATCAGTTGTCTTGCCTAAACTGGTTGGAATCCTGATAAATGCTGTATTTCTTTGGGGAACAAAGGCAAGCATTTTTTGAAAGACAGAGTCAGAACATGTTAATGAGCAACAGAAAAAGAACTCTAGGCACCAAAATGAGGATTGGTCACTTTTTTTAACTCATCATCATATACCTCTCTTTAACCATCTCCTAAACTCATGTTTAATCCTTTCTTTTAAGCCTAAAATTTTGAATAGATGTTATGCATGGAGTAATTTTTGGCAGAACTTGGGTTAAGGTAACTCATCTCCTTTTACAAAATGTGTGACTTTGAAAAGGAATTTAAATAAGACTTTAACAATGTTAATTGAAAACATTTGTGGTTTACAGAAGGCTCTTGAAAATCCAGTTTGTGAGATCCTTCTATAAAAGGTCAGGAGGTTACTCAGAAATGAAGTATAGGTTTTCAGGCCTGGTTGTATTTTATAAAGTTTTTTCTGAAGTGCCAAATGACATTGAAAGTTCAGATGGCTTGAATGTTCAGTTTCAAAGGGAAGGAAAATAATACTGGTTGATTTGATTCAATATTGTCTGGATTCATTGAATTACATATATTATCTTGGCATAATATCTGTAATTGTAGCCAAATAGTCTGTCAAGAGAAAATAGCTGTTTATGAAAGTTTTCTTAAAATTGCTTCATGGCTTTTAAGTATTTTCTCAGGACTAAATAAACAGTAAGTGTTAAGACAGAGCTAAAGCTTTAAAGCATCATTAGGAGATTATTCATGCTTTTGCAGACAATCATTTCTGCCAACATTAAATTTAAATTGACCTCTTTTTGACACTTCCTCTACAGTCGTCAACAGTCTTAAATATCTGTATGCATGGGATTGGATGTTCCCATTATGGGGTTTATATTTTACTACGTTTACAGTATGATGATCAGTCAGAATTATTTGCCTTATTATAGTATTTCAGCTTTGAATTTATTTCTGGTTCATAATTAGTTAACTGAAAAAAATATTGCAGATAACAGCTGCCAACTGCAGCATCCTAAAATAAACAAAGATACGAATTTAACTTCAATGCACATCCTTACCAATGGAACGACACCATGATTCTCATCCTTTTTTCATGACTGGTTCAAAATTGATAGTTTTGCCTTAAAAGTAATGTTTAGACACACAAATCAGAAACTAGGCTGTATTTTCTAATGTTAATACCTGAGTTTTGCACTTGTACAGCGTTTCAGTAATTAAATGCAGGTATTCCAACCTGTTTCATTGCTAGGGCAGAAAAGTTGTATTTAGTTGTTCAATCCAGGATATCTGTGTATAAAACTATGTAAATGTTTTAATCCTGTGATGCTTAATGACTATTATACAGATTCTGTATGTTTTTATACGTGGAGTATCCACTTATGCGTATTATCCTACTTAACTCTTAATGCCATTTCTTTGGGTTATGGTACAGTTTGCTTATATGGCACTTCTGAGCTAATAATCTAGGGAAACAGTTTGTGGTTTGCAGATTAATATATAAGACAGTCAATAGGAGATGATGTTGAGCAGTTCTCGAAAGCTGACAGGTAGGGTCAGCTCACTTTGCTGGGGTGTGAGGCAGCCCGGGGAGTTAGGCAGTGGGTCTTTGTGAGCGGCATCTGGGTGTCCTCGCTGTGCACTGAGAATGTAGCAAGCTCCCGTATAAATCCCTAAGTAGCTTATGGACCATCTTTAGCAGATGATTCTGTCTTGAGCCCTGC